GTATATGTGTGTATATGCATCTAAAGTCCCTTCGAAGTCAAGCGGATTGAAATTGGACGGAATGACTTGCGTGATTTAAGTCAGTTCACTGCTTTTTCTTACCTTCCTTTTTCTTATCCTTCTTTATCATTATTTGCTTTCTCCTACTCTCTTTTATCATTTTCCTCGTTTTATTCTTCTTTCTTCTTAACTTTCGTTGTTTCTCTCTTTATTTTTTATTTCTTATTATTTATTTTTATTTTTTCATAGTACAGCTACTGCCGTTGGTCTATAACTTGACAATTTTCTCAATAATCCTGGAGAACGAGAAAAATTCTGTTGGGCGCAGACATAGAGCTCACCTTGATGGAACATGGAGAAAAGGTTGAGAATGCTTCCGAGGGCCCATCGAGCGCTTCAAATCTTAGACTCAAAAGAGTACAGTAAAAGTAAAAGAGAGAAAGAGAGAGTATTTCCTAAATCAAAGCGGAAACGCTAGCGAGCGCTTCGCTTCCACTCGAGGTCAAGAGATTTTTTATTAAGCTTCAGCGAATGCAGCAAGAATGGAATTACTTTAATTAAAAAATCAAGTTCTTGTTACAAAATCAGTACAAAAGTATTTTGATATTCATGTTATTAAGAAGATAATGTTAATTATCGACATTTTATATATATAATAAATATTTATAAATACATCAATATAATGATATTTCATTCTAATTTTAATATCAAGTTAAATTTATTGGCGATGCGTTGAAAGTCTCGCATAACTTTTTTTTTAAATTGCTGCCGTTTTAATGCTGTTTACCAAAAAACCAACAAGCATAATAGCCAAATAAAATAGAATGCTATTTATTTATTGGTACTGGCAATAGATGAAATAACTTAATTATGGAATTTTATATTTTTCAAGCCAACAAATTATTCGACAACTTCTCAATTTTTTCTTACCACCTAATCCATATGTTAAATATCCATTCAATTAAAGCTATAAAATATATATTGTTTCAAAAGAACTTGATAATAACCATATAAATAATTAATTGTTTATATAATAATTAAGTAACGTTGTAGGATAACGGATAAACTACAATTAAATTAACCAACGGCCATAAAATGTAATAAAATAAAATTTTTTTTTTAATATGAGATAGAATGCACTTTTCCTTCCTCGGATTCATGTATATTTTTCAAAAGACGCGTTATATTTCATCGGTCTTAAAATACTTTCCCTGTTATATGATTTCACTTTGAGCTCGGCTAAAAGCATATATACGTATAACAATAAACTGACCACATGAGATTCCTGGCTTCCAACGAAACAAGGATAAAAGTACGCCAAGAAATTTGTACACATGTAAAGAAAGAAAGGAAACCTTTGAAGAACTGATACTGAGTTTTGGCTAGTGTAGTATTTGAATTTTGAATGTATGTAATTCCTTTACACAAGATTTACGTGTATCATGAAATATTAAGACAATAGATTATATATTGCTATTTGAAGCTTATTATTACTTAAAAAATAAATATGAGAATTTTTTTAAAGAAAACATTCAATTTCGCATGTATATTTTATATTTTACGAAACAAGTGTGTTTAAGTAATTTATGCTCTTTAATTAGGCCTAACATCTATATAATATCCGAAGATAGTAATATAACAAAGTAATAAAAAAGCAACAGAAGGTTGTACAAGTATTTGTATTTGTTGATTAAAGGTTTCAAAATTGTTTGATAATAAAAGGAAAACATTTCAATTAAGTATTAACGTAAATTTAAAGTAACATTTTAAGAAAGTACATTGAGAATAAATTAAATAAAAGGATATCCTATTTTAATAAATTCTATTGTCATATTTTTATATTTTCAAGATATTTTCTAATTATGTATATTAATTGTATTACTGCAATTGTTTAATTCTGTATTTTAAGAAGTTAATGATAGTTATTTTTATCAAACAATTATTTTACAACTGTATATATATATATATATATATATATATATATGCCCTTTTGCATAGGCACATATTCATCTGTATAACTTTATTATTTGGAAATGTGAATTTCAATATATAGACAATTATACAAGTCGCAATACTCGTCTTTTAAAATATTGCATTGATAGACTTTACTATTGCTAATTAGATTAATAATAAAAATCAAATTTTAACGTTTTCAATACTATTTATATTTAAATTATTAGGATTTGTAAGTTTTTAGATAAATATGAAAATACTGCTGAAAAGTGCATACGTAAAGCTGATAACATTAAAAAATATTAACAGGCAGTAGTATATTCTGGTCGTGACTGCTAATATAATAATAAAAATGGTTATGTTAAATGTTGAATTTAAATACCTCTGTTAATGAAATTCAATTGTATTTAATAATATTAATAATATTCTTTAATCAGGATTAAATTACACACCTAAATCATTATATACAAGTACCAATGAATTTAATTCAAATTCAAACAAGACATTATTAAAAATATCATTTACAATGATATTATAACAGAATTGTTAATATATTATTAATATACTTATATATAAATAATCTTCTCAAGAAAAAGATATTATTCTTTAATATTCAATACTTAAAATCAAAATTAATTTTAAATTTCAAGTTAGACAAGAAATATGAATAACACACATTGAAAACATAAAATGCAATTAATCGATTGAACATTACAATTTTAAGCATACGGAACTGGCATAGAATGATATTGATGTTCATATTCAGTACCTTGACTTGCTAATCTCAAAATTTAATTTCAAAATTTAAATTCTGTCACCGTACATCTCGATTCACCAAGAATCTTTTCATCTTTCTTCTATTGTATTGCATTCCGCTTTTTATACTTAGTTACTCACATGGTTCTTTGACTAGTTCATTAATCTAGCTTTAATTAAAAAATTTTTGTTAAAACATTTTCAGTTTAATAATTACAAATTTGTAATACAAATGAATTTTACGGAAAATTTTATAGAACAAAAAATAATTCTTGTGAATGAATTAAAAACGATGAATTAAAAATATTTATTTTTAATATAAAAATATTTATAGTTAATACCAGTAAGGCTAGTTTTGAACATTTTCCTATTCAAATGGCTTCAGAAATAATTGATAATTGTGCAATAACATAAAATGATAGTTATAATTAGTAAACAATAGTTTCTCACATATATATTTTTAGTCTTCTTCAATACTCACATATTTATTTAATTCAATGTACTTAATTAGTGTGAAGTATTATACTTCTTAATATCATAATTAAAATCTTTAATTTTCTCGTTATCTGGTATATTTTATTTCTATATTTTTCTATTAGTATCTCGTTCTTTCTTTATGGTTATTTTTTATTCTAAATGAAATTATTATTATACCATTGCTATACCCTTTTGTAAGCATTTTAATTTTTATCTTCATTTGAATCGTAAAAAAATACATAATAAATTAAGATACTATCTTAAAACAAAGATCTAACACAAAATAAAAAATATATAATTATGTTTAGTTGGTTGATTCATTTTTATTTCTAAAGAAATGACTGATTTTCCACACAGCTACTAAAACTTGACTTTATGTTTTCAATATCTAAACTAAATTTATGAAATACGATATCTTCACGTATGATAGATTATTATCATATGAATTTTATATAATTATCAATATTACTAATATAATTTTCAAACTATTATTTTATTAATTCACTTAATTCTGATAAGATTAGAATATTAATTATATTATACCATACATACATTTCGAATTAATTAAAAATACTCTGAGCCTTCATATATAAATACACATAAATGTATCTTATTGTGTTATAGTGGTAAGAGTTTTTTTGTAAAAATACATGTAAAATGAACAACTAAAATATATTTAAACTCGTTTATACGAGACTATATGTGCAACAGATGTAATTTTCTATTTTTTATCCTGTTTTATACAAATATTTCTATAAATTTTTTAATTTATATTTTATTTAACACATTTATAGTCATACAATTTTTAATTTATTTAATATTTAAAATGCTTTTTAAATATTAATTCCAAAATATTTATTGCAAATTAAATAAGCTTCCAATAAATATATTTAACAATACATGTTCTAGATGCATAAATAATTGTAAAATCAAAATAAATTGTAAATGATTAATTATTATTATTCATCTACTTAATACTCAGGCAAAAAAAAAGAAAAATTTTGTGATTGAAAAATAATGGTTTATGTTTTTACAATTTACTTTCAATAAGGATAAATAAACGCATAAAAAAGTACAAAAATAAAATTTGTTCTCTTAAAGTATTGTAAATACATAACACTATAAACTATCTATTGTATTTCATACTATATTATCGATGTAGTATCGGTGAGTTAGTTATTTTTTTTATTATTTTAAAGTTTAACAAATTAATAATACACAATGAGTTAAAAATTGGGATAAAAATTGTTTGTAAACGTATTTTTAATAAACATATATGGAAATTTTCGATTATAAAGTAGAATATATCGTGAATAAAAAGATCCTGCCATTAAGTAGAACAAATCTGTCCTTGTCAGCCATTATTCATAGGCTTAAGTAATTGGAAGTAACGGAAAAAATATATTAAAATAATAATATAAAGATTCAGTATTAAAAAACGTTATTTAATTTTCAATATATTGTAAGAATTAATAAGAATGCCTGAGGCTGTTACACTTGCGAATTGAATTTGAATTATTCTAAAATTCAAATCCGCAGAAGTATAAATTTGGGTGAAAAACTTTAAATGACAGATTTTATTATATAAAAATCTAAATGATGTATATATGGATTTTTTTTAAACACTTTCGAATAAAAATTTTACGTATATTTCGCAAATTCACATCACTTATTTAAAACTGCCCTCATGAACATAATCCACCGTATACATAAATATATTCTATTTTTAAGCAATGAAAATAAATATTTAAATACAAATTCATCCAATTTCCTTGAGAATCCAAAACATAAATAGCGTAATCGTTTTAATTGGTATTTTTCTTTCGATATAAAAAATTATGCTCTAATAGATCAACTAGCTATAGAAGACATTTACAAAACACGAATAACTAGGAGAACGTCGGCAGTGACATTTATTTCTAACTACTATCTGCTTGCTATTTTCATGTCGTTGCATTGACTATATGTTCACATCTTCTAATTATGAGGATACTTTTTGCGTCTTTTGCAAACGAAGGCATGGTATGCATTCTGTCATCTTAATTACCTATTTATTAGCGCAGAAGCGAAGTCGCCGAGTGGTGGACGTCTGCGAGGTCGTTAATTCGGAAATGCTATGACAGCGAGTTCAAAAGAATCACGAAAAGAAAAGAAAAGTATAGAAAACTGAGTATAATTGCTAAAGGCTCATTTGACATCTGTCTCTAATTCGGAATAGAACGTGACGAGGTGGCTTTCTTCTATTTTGACGTTACTTCCGACAGAATTGTCTTCTCTTTATTCCATTTAGTTTTATTGGGATTTGTGATTGCGTGCGTGGCCAAAGCAGAGTTTATATGCTTTGACACGCGCCATCGTGCAATTTGTAGAAATCTGAAAATAATTCATGGTAAGACAGTCAAAAGTTGTTTTCGAAGCCGTTACGATTATGTGAACTAATTGTAATTAATAAACTATTATATTAAATTATTTCTATTTATAAATATTAGTAGCCAATTACTTAATAACTTAATTACTTTTTTGAATTAAATCATGATTATCCGAACTCTTTATTTTATATAAAATCTACTAAATAAGAGAAAATTACAAATATTATATTTTAGAAAAGCCAATAACTAATACATCTGCATAATTCAATGTTCTTTAGAATAATAAGAATGTAATTGAATTATGCATATCATATTTAAAAAGGAAATGAAAGCAGTTATTACAACATATTATTAATGTACTTTAAAGAAATAACTTTAAAGAAATGAGATTATAGTTACAATGTTATGTAATGGATAATTTTTTAATAATCATGATAAATGTTATTTGCCTTATGCGTAAAAAATCTACGTACTAGTTAATATTTTCTTTTATCCAGTGATCTTTTACTTTGAAATACTCATATATGTATTATAATTAACAGACACACAAGATTTAGCTTAAACTTTAACAAAAGCCATATGAAAAAATTTACTTAGAGATTTATTATTTCTTAGCAAAGATATATTCCAATTATTTCGTAATTTTTATAATTTACAACTTTCATTTTTACTAAAATAAGCAGATTATTATATTACTGAGATAATCTGTACAAAGAATTTTTAATCAAAATGATTGCCATCTACAAATATTTCTTAATGCTTAATATCATAAGCATTTATTTGAGGTAAATACTTTAATATTTGTATTTTTGAAATTTATTTATAAAATAAAAGTTTAATTTACACTTATATTATCCAATTTCAATGAAATAATTATTGCAATACAATGTAATTCATAAATTTATGTTTATATTTATATTTTTGATCATTAATAATTAGAGGATAAAGAAAAATATATAATTTCGTGCATATACTTTTGCGCATAAAAATGTTTTTTTTTAAAAACGATTATTAATATAATACTTTTATTATACTATATCATATGAAAATCTTACAATTTATAAAATATTAAGCAATATAAGCTGACGCGATGTGTACTGATACAATAATTAAATATATTTAAAATACTAAGTGTGATAACTCATACTAGGAACTTTAAATATCAAAATTTTAATATTCCAAAACTTTAAATTTACACATCATTGACGAAATCGATTCGAAATCATTTGACCAAAATTAGTAATTTATTCTAATTATATATATATATATATATATATATATATATATATATATATAGAAAAATCATTAATATATATATAGAATACAGTTATAATGCCCCACAAACATTATAAATACATGTAAATTCTGTTTTTCTAGAAATTAGAAATAAAATAAAACTGATTTTATATAATAATTTTCTCTTTTCAATATTATTTTAAATTTATTTAATTAACTGCTTAAACAAGCATGAAAGTATCTATTGAAATTATTTGATTTTCTGATATAGTGTTTGTTAAATATTAATCCTCCAATATTTAAAAAGTAAATATATAAAAAATTTTATATTTTATTAAAACATATTAATAATAGTATCTTGTATTGTTTGATATTTTTAATTGTACATATTTGTTACTCCATTTCATTATTCGTATGCATTATTCAATATAGATAAACAAATTTTATTAATAATTTAGATTACAATTTATATATAAAAAAATTACTAAATTTATGATATTTAGAATACTATACTCAATGTTGTAACTAAAATATAAATCTAGAAATGTCATTTTACTCGAAGCCATTCTTTATGATCAGTACATGAAAACTGCGGTAAATAAATAATCAACAGAAATAAAATATTCAATAAATTTCTCAATCTTCGAATTTATGTTACACAGATGGAATTTTAATATGTACAAAAGCCACTAGTTTAATTTTTCAAACATTCTATCAATTTGCATTGTTCACACAACGTAATATAATATATACTTGAAATATTTATCACTGTGTACATAGAAATGTTCAATTTGTATTATCATTATCTTGATTATTTGCTGTTATCTCCATAATATAAATAAAACTGTCTAACTTACTGTCTCTAGAAGCTGTAAGGTGTACAAGTTCCTTGTCATCTTGCACCAACTTTCTTGAATTATATCTTGTACAGTTATTGTAGCACATCATATGGCATATACTGGGAAAAGTGCGATTACCAATATCACGATCACTTCCGCAAATTGTGCGATTTCCGTCATCATTGATTCCTCCATCATTAACTCTTGACAATTCATCCCTCTTCTTCTTTTGTAAGCCAATTACTTTGCTTTCTGGACAATTGATATCGCAATTGCATAAGGAAGTGAAATCGTCAATAGTCGAAGCTTTTATTTTTGGTATATTGACCAGAACAAAAACTGTAAATACTGAACAAATATGCGATAAACAATATTCATCCATCTAAAACGATAAATATACCGATTGCATTTATTTATTTTTTCAGTCTTTAGCAGTGAAAAATATGCAAAGGATAGATGTTTGTAGAAAAGTAAGAACAGCTAGTAAATTTTAATCTACTAACATAAGTGGATGAGTAATTTTTTTAATAAATATTTTATACCTCAGCATTGTTACTAATTCAAAAATATAAACAAAGCATGTATTAGGTGAAGTTATTTACAATAACGTATACAGTTAAAAATATTAACAATGATTAATTTAAAAATACTTACAACTATAAATAAAACATATATATTATTAATGGATATTTATAAATATTAATATATATTTATTACTGGAATATAAAAAAATTATTAGAGATATATAGAGAGAATTTATACAATAATTTTTGTAAAATTCTAATGTATGCGATAACATTATATTATCTAATAGATATAAAAACTATTTCAAATATATATATATATATATATATATATATATATATGCACGATGTGTGAAGTTACTTCGATTAATTAGATTAACTAGAAGTTATATAGTTAATACATTTATTTAGAAATAAGCAAAGTAAATCTCATTTTTCCAAAACCTACTTATCAATCTTCTACTATCGTCTATTAAAAAATTTAACATTGAATATAACAATTTGAATAAAAATTTTGAAAAATTTATGATTCCATTTTAACTCATCAACATACAAAACATCGATCAATGATTACTTATTTGAACGATAAATCGAAATACTGATACATTATAATAAATATTTTATTCAAAAACAATATATTTAAATAATATAATTATTTATTTGCAATATTTTGTGAAATTTATGTTACAAAAGCAATTTATTAATCTATTTATTTATATATATATATATATATATATATATATATATATATATTTATTTATTTATTTATTTATTTATTTATCTATTTATTAATCAAATAATATTTTTCAAATTATATTCATAAATTGTAATTTAGTTTGAAATAAATATATAAATAGCGATTAGTACTAGAAAATAAAATTCTATATTAAAAAATCATTAAAACATTATATTTGCAAATAATTTTCAATAGAAACTTCATTTTTTCTAGGAATTTGAAGAATTAATAAAAATAGCACAATATTTGTTAATAATTTTTAAATAATTGATTTAATCGCGTAGAAAATAAATTGAAAAATTGTTCAGTTCTCTTATCACAATAGAATGGAATGATAATTTAAATATGAAATCTTTTTATAATGCTCGGGAAAATAAAATATTGATCATTAAAAATTTTTTTTATATACATAAAATTGTATATTAAAATAAATAATTATTAATAAAAATTTATATTCATTGGTATCAGTAATAGAAAATAAACTTTACAAAATATGGAGTACTATTATATAATATATTATGCAATCCGAATGATTTTCGCTTAAATATAAGTATATTATTCAATTTATAAATACCTGTGACTAAATGACATTGTAAAAGAAACATTTTTTTAAATCAAAAACCTTATATATATATGGAGAAAGAGAGAAAGAGAGAGAAAATACAACAAAACAATATTTGACTGTTCTATTACATTCGTAACGTACAAGTCAACTGTGGTTTTTTGTTACTAAATCACATTGTTCAATAACTTCTATTGAGGGCTTACAGATAAAAAATTTTGAATTTTATTCAGATACAATATCTATTCAATATTTATAAATCCATTATATAATCGTAATGTTTTTGTAAAGTTATCAATAGAACTATTCGTATAATTATCATAATTGTAGCAAAACAAGAATAAAAACTTTTTTAAAACATTTATGGCATCATACCCACACACTCATATATGTGTGTGTGTGCGTGTGTGTATGCAGTAGTGAGGGGTGATGAGAGGGGGGGGGGAGAGATACAGTACTGAAACTGCTGATAAGATTGACATTAGTCACCCGAAACATGTTTTTAATCAGTGCATAGCACTGTCATTATTTATGACCCCAATAAAATAATTTTGTATTAGTTGTTACGGATTAGTTCATTAGAAATAATTTATGAATTTTAAATATATTGTAATATGCAGCAACTAAATAATTATGGTCTTGAAAGAAAATTGATTAAAATCTCGTAACATTAGAATAAAAGACTATTTTTTAATATTCATATATAACTAAAATGCGTTGCATAGAAAAAAAAATTCTATTAAAATTATTAGAATAAACAGGTCTTAAATATACTAAAATTTACAAACATCTAATGAAACATCTTTTCAAAATTTTATTACTTTATAGATTGAGTATCTTAAATAACTGAAAACGATAATTGCATAATAAACTACTTCATTGCTTGATCAGTTAATAAATTGCTAATTAAAAGAATAAATTCTCACTCTCGCTGCCTTTGAATTTTTCATACCGGTGGTTTTAAAAGATCATAATTTATATGAAACGAAATAGAATCTATTAAGCAAATTATAGTTTAACAGCTTATTAGAAATTTAGAAATACAATAACGTATTTAATGACCAGAAATAGTATTATTTATTTATTGACATTAGCATCAAGACTCAGATTAATTATTTAAAAACTCTCGTAGTAACGTATATGTAACTATAAAAAGAATTCTTATGATATACAGAAACGATGACTAAATTATTTAAATTATTAAATTTTGTTCATCGTTTCATGTTCGTTATTTTATCATAAATTATGGTTTAATAAATAATTAAAATACCTTGATTAATTATCTATAAAATAAAAATTTTATGCAAATATATAATATATTAAAAAATTACTACAAATACTACTTAAAAAAATACATACCAACTGATTAGGATTATCCATTACTTAATATTTTTATGGTTTTAACAAGTAAGTTACTTAAAAATACAATTGATCAATTAAAATGCGTACGAACTATAATATAAAATAAATATAAAATATTCAAAATTTCTAAATCAATTATCTGCATTGTAAAAATACACTATCCATTGTATAAATAAATGAAATATTAATAAAATATTAAAATATAAGACTCTTCTTATGGATATAAAAAAGAATTTTTCAAGTTAATGAATAATTAATTTTTATATGAAATATTTTACTATTTTTGTTGTTGTTGTTGTTGTATTTATATTAATTTCTTTATATGATAAACATATGTTCGTCAATATATGTTGGTATTGTATCTTGCGAAAAATTACATAGAATATTTAATAATCTTGAAGGTAAGTATAAATAAAGAATTAGCAAAAATATTTTGGAAATCGGGAATTTGTCCATGACTCCATTTAAATCTAACTGAAATAAATAATTGGAGAATATTCATTAAAATTTATAATAAACTTGAATTATAGTCTCAAACATATTTCATCCACTACTTTACAATTGAATTTAGATTTAATAACAGTTATTCTGGAAGATATATTCATAGGATATTTATCAGTATGAGTAGTTGAAACCTCTGAAATTTAATGAAGTGAGTGAATGCAAAACTATCGACGAACTGGCTATAACACATACCTTATGTAAAAAATACTATGTGTATGTGTATATAAAATGTCTAATATTTTATATACTAAAGCATCACAAATGTCCGAACATAAAGTGTACTTCGATAAAATGTATAAAGATTTGAATAAACAAGGAGTTCCTAGTATTATATTTAAAATCTTTTTCTATGAAACTAATCCAAATCCGCTCTCTTGATTTTCTTAATGTCCACCTTACCTTAATCTCAAATATTAATTTCGCTGTTTAACATAATAAATCTAAATAAATCTAAAATAATTAGTTATTTCTTGAATTAATGAAATGGTTATTAAATTATTGTAAAATGAAAACAACTTATTGTTATATGTAAATGAAAATAATTCTTTAAAAATTCTAAATATGGAAAAAGAGAGATGATGTAAAAAAATTTTATAAAATAGTTGCAATATGCGTATACAATAGATAAATGAAAAGATTATTATGTAAAAATTGATAAATGATTTTTCAATGATAAATGGTACAGTATGGCATACACTTTCATATTATATATATTATCTCGAAATTGAAATTTTAGTTAAAAAATTTGACTTGCATTTATCTATTTCTATACTGTTAATATTGGTGTTATAATTATAATAGAACTATATAGATATCATATATTTTCGATGAGATAATTTATATATTTCTTAAGACGTTATATAAATTATTTATAAAATACATTTATTTTACGCTCATTAGTTTCATATATTCCATTACGCAGACTAGAGCACTTGCATATATTTTAATATGTCAAAAAGGATAAAAAAATTATATAATTTTGCAGCTCTTCATGAATTGCTCTATCATCGATTTAGAAATATCGGTTAACCTCCAAAAATAAAATTGACCGATAAATGGAAGCAGCCGGCAGTTATATCGAGTACACATATGCTATGATCTAATTACGCACAGTACGAATGAAGGTTAGAAGTAAGAGTGCAGTTTTATTATACAAAGATATATATATATATATATATATATATATATATATAGAGAGAGAGAGAGAGAGAGAGAGACGCCGTAATGGCGAGAAAAGACAGGAAAGAGAATAAAAAGGGCTCCAACACTTGTTCGAGCGCAGTGTAATTTAGGCCATAGAGCGCGCTTAACTCCATTGCACATGCCGCGTGTGAGGAAGATGCACGAAGTCGAAAAGCGTATGAAAAAGCAATGCCATTCTCGAATCGTGAAAGATTGTCAATCAGCACGAGCTGTCTAGGCTTGATTACAACGTGGACGGGCAGAATTAGCGAACGAGGCTATGCGGCAACTCAGTCGGTCGGCAATTCTTCGTAGGAAATATCGGGCCGCACAGATTTTCTCTCTTTCTCTCTCATTTGCGATGTTTTGTTTGCGTGAGACAACGATCGGGCAGCCCGGCGATTACGAAATACTCAGCCTTTCGCTGAAACAGCCAGAAACAACGAAACGGCGCGAAATAAATTGAAAAAATTATGGTTGCTTTTATGGGCATTGTTTATAGCCAAACGCATTGCTTAACTAGTATTCTATTCATGAAACTCAACTCACATTCGGAAAGAGTTCACATTTTTATTTTAAAATTTGATCGAAACTCTTTTGCAACAGATCAAAACTTTTATTGCGAGTGGCTGGAGTTCTGTCGCGTTGGTAAATAACTGCTTCGGGATACGCTTCGCTTCGAGAAAAGATTTTGTATTAATGGCAAATTTAATAAAAATTTACAGAAATTCATAACGCTTTTTATGTATGAAAATTTTATTTCAATGTCAGCAATATCTCGCGATATTCTGCGTAATTGCTTCGCGGTACTTTTACATACGTAGAAACATCGAATTCCATGAAATTATCCTACAGATTTATGTTTAATAAATATTTGTACTCACTCATGAAAGTTTTATCCAAGTCTTTATTTATAAAACGACATTCTTTTATTTAAAGCAACACGTTTTAAAATTAATTTAACAACCTACGTGCACCATTTATTACTAATTTTTCTCCAATACAAAATTCATCATCTCCTTAAAAGGCTAGTTTAATAGTTATTAAAATCATTTTAATATATCATCTTAAATAAGTAGCTAAGAAAACGAAAATAATGAAGTTATTGTGAAATTCATTTTTAGTTTATCCAAAATTTAAAATCTACGAAATACGATATTAAGTTTTTAATTTCCTAAATGTAATGCATTGAAGACTACATATAAAAATAAATTCAATAATAAGATTTTTCGTGATTCTAATATTGGAGCTCGCGAGATTCGTTTTTGTGAGTTGTTGCTGGAGTGTATCGGGGTCGGAGTGGGGGAGGGTGTTGTTCGACACCTCTCTTTGGCTACTTGCAAGGGACGCCTGTGTACGTCCTTGGCGAGGGGTTGTAGTCACTTCTCCGTAGGCGGTCATTTCTTCTCGTACCGGACACTGGGGCCGGTCGTGCACACCTACACTCACTAGAGTACTCGTCTGATATCAAGATTAAATGCGCAAATGTAATTTATATAATGATGAAACCATCTTACAGTCCATTAAGATAATGCCAGGCTCTCAAAATTATTTAAATGCTTTTATAGTAATACAGTTAATTCATCTAATGAAGCAGTAAAGTTATAAAAAAAATTACCTTTTGTAGAAATTCACTTGCATAAATGCATACATTTTTTCATATTAATTTATATAATTACAATAATATGAAATGCTAATTTACCTCTCTTAACTTGTCTTAACTAATTGTATAATATTATTTTTTTAATATTCTACCAAATAATTGTTAACACCATTTCTCAAAACTACTGAATTAATTTTAAAAATAAACATAAAAATAATTATTGGAACTTACTTTTGTCTACAATTTAATAAATTTGCAATTAAGGATTACAAATATATTTTCAAGTATTGCGTCTATGTAAAATTAATCTGTCCTTTGACATCACAAAATTATGAACATTATAAAATTATTAAATTTAACGATGGGTATTCATTCGAAATTTAAAATTAAAATAATTCACAAAATTTATTAATCAAAGACAAAGTTTAAATAATAAGTAATTATATGTACAGCCATTTTATATAACTATTGAATGTTATATAGAATAATTAATCATTAAAAAAAATCAAAAGGATTAGATACTAAATTGTACTTATGCATATAGACGCTTTATAGACACATATAAGATGTGCTTTAAAATTTAATTTTATTTAAACTTTGATATTATTTATAAATCATTTATAATATTTTATACATCTTTTTCTACAGCGAATTTCATTAAAAATGCTTCGTAAATAGAATACAATAATGTACTTCATATCTTCAGTATATGTTTTTTTTTTTAAATATTCTTTTTATTGGTACTATTTTTGAAAGCAGTTATTAAATAAATATTCAATAATCATAAATTCGATACACACAATGTCAGTGGGCCAGTAAATAAAAGATGAGAGGTAATATAAATATATATCCTGTAGTCTCATCTGTGTTAGCATAAGCAGATGAAAAGAAATTAAATAAATTTAATACAGCAAAAATCACTTTCGAAAATTATAAAATAATGGGCATTAATATCATTAAAAATTTTAAAGACAAAGTTTAAACAATAACATTAGATTAATTTTTGTTAAATCAATAAATTCAACCGACAGTTGTTCTGTAGTAATTTTTTAATAAATGTCAATAAATTTCAATAACTAAATTAAAAAAATATTCGATTTAATAAATTAAAATTTTTTTTGCACGAATAGAAGCAATTATATGAGTATTATATTTATGAAAAAATTTAAAAATAGTGAATACTCATATTACACGGAATAATACAAATATTTCAATATCAATTTAAAAATTATCCATAATGTTTTTCCGTTTAAATTTACGTCTTCAATTTCTGATGGCCTCCTTGTATTCGCATGCAAATCTTTATTGGCAAAGTCTCATTGTTAAAATCGCAATTTGTCATAAATATGGCATAAATCCTCTCTCTAGGTAAGCAAACTATGCGAGTCACAAATCGACAAGGATAATTGAAGTAATATTCAGAACGCCCCTAACTGCGGCAACGCGGTATCGTTTCATTCGCTAAATCCGTTGGTGCGTATTACCCCATAAGCCATGTGAGCCTCAATATTTTCGGCTGCACTTCATTTCACTGTACATCCATTGGAACAAAAGCATTCATGACCAAACCTTGTGATATGCGTTATCTAACCACCAGGTTACATTAAGTCATGAAAACGCGTCGACCCGCGTATATACGAAAATACATCCCTCAATATTCCCGAATAGCAAGACTTGTGCCATTTGACTAAGTCAGCGTTTAATCCAAACCAATATGTCGTTCATTTCC